AAAATCCTAAGAAATCTACACAAACTATTAGATGTAATAAATGAGCTTAGCAGGTCTGCAGGGTATAAATTCAACACCGAAAAAATGAATTGTATTTCTATACATTAGTAATAAACAGTCTGATTTAACAAAATGTAGAACACAATTCCATTTATATCATAAAAATAATTTTTAAAAATTAAGAATAAATTTATGACATATACTGAAAATGCTAAAACATCATTGAAACAATTAAAGAGGCCCTAAATAAAAATATATCTCATATTTACAGATCAGAAGACTTAATGTCAAAATGGCGATACTATTCAAAGCTGTCTATAGATTCAATGTAATCCCCATCAAAGAAATCCAGCTGGTATTTTTGCAGAAATTGAAAAGCTGACCCTAAAATTAATATGGAAATACAAATGACTCAGAATAGCCAAAACAATCTTGATAAAGAATAAAAATATTTGGAAGAGTCTCACTTTCCAATTTTTGTTTTATTTTGTTTTGGTTTTTGAGACAGGATCTCACTCCATTACCCAGGCTGGAGTGAGGTGGTGTTATCTCAGCTCACTTCCACCTCTGCCTCCCAGATTCAAGTCATTCTTGTGCCTCAGCCTCCCGAGTAGCTGGAATTACAGGCGTGTGCCACCATACTCGGCTAACGTTTGTATTTTTTAAAGTAGAGATGAGGTTTCATCTTGTTGGCTAGGCTGGTCTTGAACTCCTGGTCTCAAGTGATCTACCTGCCTTGGCCTCCCTAAGTGCTGGGATTATAGGCCTGAGCAAACACACCCATCTCACACTTCCCAATTTCACAACTTATATCTACAGTTATAAAGACAGTATTGTCCTGGCATAAGAATAGACATATAGATCAATGGAATAAACGTGAGAGTACAGAAACAAACTTATATTTATGGTCATTTTTCGACACAGGTGCCAAGACAATTCAATGAAGAAAGATTAATCTTTTCAATAAATGATGCTGGGACAACTGTGTAACCACATGCAAAAGAATGAAGTTGGAGCTTCACCTCACACAGGATGCACAAATTAACTAAAATAGATGTAAAACCTAAATATAACAGCTAAAACTGTGAAACACTTAGAAAAAGACATAGGTGTAAATTTTCATGACCCTTGGATTATTCAACTTTTCTCCAATGATACCAGAAGCACAAGCAGCAAAAAATATAAACTGGACTTCTTCCAAATTAAAAATTTTTGTGTTCAAAGAACGTCATCAAAAAAGTGAAATGATAATCCACAGAATCAGAAAATATTTGTATATCATACTTCTGATAAGAGATTAATATTTTAAATATATAAAGAACTTTTACAACACAACAAGAGACAATACAATTTAAGACTGGGCACATGATTTGAATAGACATTTATCCAAAGATGATGTGCTAGTTGCCAATAAGCACATGGAAAGATGGTCAACGTCATTAGTCATTAGGGAAATGCAAATCAAAACCACAAGGAGGCACCATTTCATTTCCACCAATATGGCTAGAATATAAAACGCAGCCAATAATGAGTGTTGATGAGGATGTGGAGAAATTGGAACCCTCATACATTGCTGGATTATAAAAGGGTACAGCCACTTTGGAAAATAGTTTTGCAGTTCCGCAAAATGTTAAATATACCATATGATTCACCTTTTCTACTCCTAGGTGTGTATACAAGAGGACTGAAAATATGTGTCTATATAAAAACTTCTCATGAACATTCACAGCAAGATTATTTATAATGGCCAAAACATAGAAACTTGAATGATCCATCAGACTGGTGAATAAAAGTTTGATATATCCTACCATAGAATATTAATCAGCAACAGAAACAAAGCACTGATATATGCTATAACACAGGTGAATCTTGAAAACGTACTAAAGCAACCAGTTACAAAATCTAAATATCTTGTGATTCTATTTGTTTAAATGTCCATAATCCAGAGAAAAAGAAAGTAGATTTGTGGCTGTCAGGAGCTGGTGGTAAGGGTTAGGGGAATGAGGATTGACCACTAAAAGGCATGAGGTTTCTTTTGTGGTGAAATTAGATTGTGGTGATGTGTACACAGGTCTGTGAATATACTGAAAACCACTGAATTATACACCTTAAATAGTAGCTTTTATGGTAAATTACACCTCAATGAGGCAGTTTTTAAAAAATAAGACTAATACCTCCTACACTTCATAGTGCTATTGGAAGAATTAACTGAAGACGTGAAATGTTTTATAAGATTAGGCCAAATATTTTGTGTAACTTAAGCTCTGCCTGCTTTCCAACTTTGCCCAGAATTGGTTGTGACATACTACCAAGGTAAATGCAAACAAGATCCACGATCAGACACAAGCTTAAATGCCTACACCTGCTCCTTTTGCACCCACACATTAAATGATGTTCTAGCTTACTCACTGGGATTGTTGGGACAAGGTGGACTTTGCTTCCTACTTTCCCTTTCCAGATCAAGTAACCATTTCTCCCCACCCACATGGGCAGACAGGCCCCACCCCCACCCATCACCCTCCTCCACTAGCAAGCATGTCTTATTCCTCTCACAGAAAGGCTTGAGGTACGGAACTCTTACCTTGGATTTGAGAAAAAGTACTGAACGGAAGCAATATTTCAAAGAAAGACAGAATTCATAACATCATCCTAAGTAACCAAGTAACGCTATCCTGCCAGTGTTTTCTTTGGGTATTCTGGTAACTCAGGGCTTAATGTATATAATAGGGCCAATTAATCCTGAACTCTCCATAAACAGATTAAGTTTCCTATATATTCAGCAGTCACAAGGTTAGGAGATCATGACTTTCTGAAAATCCCTAAGAACCAAGATGCTGAACTCAGGATCTGGTCCTATAATCAGGGTCCGTCTTCAGGCCTCTTAGATATTTGTGACTACCCCAATTAGGCTGGGGAAACCCATAGTTCCTCTCTCAGACCAATTTGCAGCATATATAATGATTACAAAAACTGCCTAATATCGCTGTTATATTCTATTATGATTTAAATCATGATTTTGAAATAGTGGGATATAATAATCATCTTACTTGATATGCAAAGTATTTTATATTTATTCCCATGGAAAAATAAAATGCGTGAAAATTGAGATGTTTCATGTCAGGAAGAATGTATCGCTTACCAAAAAAGTCATAATTGTATGTTTGTATTCATTAAGGACCTATTAGGTGTCAGGCTCTTATAATATAGAAAAGGGCAAGATGCAGTTGAAACTCCTCAAAAGGGGCTCCATCTTTTTGCAAGAATAAACATTTATACTAGAGTATATCAAAGGCAGGCACAAAGTGCTATATGAACACAGAGGGATGCGTAGAGACTTGCAAGATACTCAGTCTAGCTGAAGATGGACCTTGGTTATAAGACCAGATCCTAAGTTTAGCATCTTGGATCTTAGGGATTTTCAATAAGTCATGATCTCCTAGCTTTGTGAGTTCTGAATACATAGAAAACTTAATACACACCTGAGGCTGGTGTGTCAAGGGGACATTGAGAAGATGAGAAATGCCTGAGCTGACCCTTAATGATACAGTAAAGAAGGTAGACAGGCAAATGGATGTTAAGGAACAGCTCCTCAGTCACAAAAATAAAACTTGTATTTATATACTTGCAAGATATTCAGCCTAGCTGGAACCGGTTGTTGAAGGGAGTGTTAAAACGAGTTAGTTTACAATTAATAGGTAAGAAATGTAGGGATTTGACAAACACACATACCTACCCTAAATCAGTCCTATCCCATGAGAATTGCCATAAGACTAGTCAAGAGCAATTGGGTAGGGACAGACTTACTGGGCTTCGCCAAAGGGACGCCTTGGCGAGGGCTGATGGCTAACAGTGTTTCCTTAAGAGAGAACTTCTGAGGATGCTCCAGCCCTGCCCTTCAGGGATTAGGGTTGAATTCCTAGCCTCAGCTAAAGGGAACGAAGAAAATAAATTCCTTCCACTCTCTCCCAATTCTAACAACAGTCAAGATTTTCTTCAACAACAAAATAATGATTTATTTGCAACAAAACCCAGTCCCATCATTTAAATACAGTATAGGAGTAGAAATGAGTCAAATTGCAAGCATCATTTATTTCAGGATCTGGACCTGGGTCCAGATCCAAACTGAACACATAAAACAGGCAAGCCCAGAATAAAGTCAGCTCCAGGCCTTGGCAGGTTTCACCCTCATCCCATAGTCCTTCCATCACAGCCTTGTAATCCCCTGCACCCCCACTCAGGCCAACTCCTAGCCTCTGAGCCACCTGGGAACTTTATGTGGTAATTTACAGGGTTTTAAGCATCACATGAGGAAAATGCCCTGAACTCTATTGTTCCATGGAATACTTAAAATAATTCCCCCATTCATAATACTAATCAGCAATGACAGGTTTTCTCTTCTTCGCCATAAATGCAGGTTTTGAAGTAGATTATCATCTCAGACAGTTTCATACTGTAGTTTCTTTATGGGCTTCCTTAAAGGCTACTGTACTCACTTAGGACAGAAAAGAATCCCAGGTGCTTTTCCCAGATTCAGGGGCTAAGAGGAAAAGCCCTGCTGGTTTAGAAAAAGATTTCCTTCCTTCTATTCCCTCAAAAGATTTCTATGAAGACTGTTACCTGAAGATTATCCAGCCTGTCTGAGAAAAGTTTAGAAGGCAGTGCAAACAGAAGCAGGAAATTTATCTGATTAGCTACCAGTAGTTTCTAGGACATAGGAGGCAAGAAGAGGAATATAAAATCCCAAGCTATTTTCACCACCCCGAATCTTCTAGTGTTTCAGATAATATGGGCACTGGGAAGAACCCTCCTTTCCCAGGCTAGGAAAGGTTGGACAATTTCTGAAGTTCTACCACTACAGACTGCTGACTCTGACAAAGCCCCAAGGAAAACAAAATAGAGGACATCTTATCCAAGCATTAAGGGCTCTGACTAGTGGTCAAACTGTACTGATTCATGCTAGGAGACTGGTATCAGAACTATTTCCACAAAGTGGGGGAAGAGACTTAAGTAACAAGGCAAGAAATATAACCTACAGATTGGTACAGGATCACTTGCAGTTTTAACATTGATATTTTAAACTCTTCTTCAATTTCCTGGGAAACCTGAGCTATCTGTGCTTTGGCTGTCATCTGCATGTACAAGATTCAGCAATCATACCCTCATACTCCTTATACAAAATACTCCCATTTGCCTCAATCAGGAGGACGCTAATGGGAACATACTTATATGGGACACAGGAAGGCCGAGGGACACTCGGGTCCACCAGCTGATTGACAAGGTTCTGAACAATGGCATGATTGGGGGAATTGAGATCACCACGTAGTACTCGGAGACAAGTTCCTTTACAGTAGTTCGGGGTGTAGAATGAGGGAGCAATGATCCAGTGATCCCAGCCGAGCTGGCGGAAGCTGACTTGGAAAGGGTGGAGGGAACACTGGTTATTTTCAGGCTCACTGTCTTTCAAGGAAGAGGCGGTAGCCTCAGCTGAAATACTGCCTGCTTGTCGGGTTCTCCGTAGAAGAGGGGATTCCCTTTCCATGATCTCCTCCATGCCCATGGGAAGAAGTTTAGCTTTCTGAATGCTTTTATGAGTATCATTGAAATAGAGTAACAAGAAGGCAATGTCCAAGGATGAAGTGCCACGCCAGAGCTCAAGACCAACACTATCTTTTTGCTGCTGACACATAAAACGGAGTCTTAGGATCCTCTGTCTCTTGTTATTCCAGAACCTTTGCTGAACATGTTGTGTGATATCCATCTCTTTCCAAGCGTTAGACATCAGGGAAGGGTTTGAGGAACCTCCTTCTGAGGAAAGAAAGTGTTTGGTTGGGCTTTTCTGAGCCCAGGGCTCCACATGGCAGGAGAGATTGAAGCCAGTTAGTTGGAGGTGATGGCGGTAAACCACAGTGCCTCTAACTAGTTGATATAATCCTCGGTTTGGTCTGAGAGGAAAGCCGAGTATTTGTATATGCCAGGTACCTGCACAAGTAAGAGGGAACAAGAACAGAGGTTTAGCTTACCTCCTAACCTGAGTCTTCCTCACAGACCTGCTTGATACAGACTGATAGCTACAATCAGCCCTAAAATTAACTCAAGGTAATGAAACCATCATTTATTGAGCACTTACTAATACACTAGATGCTTTACATGTATTAGCTCTTTAATCCTCAATAGTCTTAGGAGATAGTTATTATCTCTATTTTGCAGACAAGGAAATTGAGGGTCAGAGAAGCTATGTCAAAGGACAGATATATGGTAGAGTTAAGATTTGAACCCAAGCCTGTTTGTTTTTCTTAAGAGAAACTGTCTCACTGTTAGATTACTTACAGTGTTGGGCTCAGGGGGGAATAATTCGAGTATAGAATTATCTTGTGCACATACTCTATGTAGGGGAGAAGGTCAATATTATTATTAGTTGACTATTAAATGTGTCCATTTAGAATTGTTGAAACATACATGGATTAAGAGTCTTTATGTCATCTCACTATACAGATGCAGCTTTGGGGCAGCAGTTCAATATTGGGTGCTGTGGCCTGCTATAATTTCAAGCCCAGGACCAAGGCAGTACAAAATAATTTTGTCTAGCCTCCTGTAGTACAGACAGCTATCTTACTACTTCCGCCTTCCATCTACTTTAAGAATTGCTTCTTAAGCATCTTTTCCTCCTTTGGCCCTCAATCTTTCTTTACCATTACTTGCTGGAAATTGTCCTCCATTTATCTCACTCATTTCACCACTATTTCTCTAAATACTATTTTCCACACAGTCTTGATCACATAAATATTTTGTTTGCTGAGAAGTCTATTAAAAGCTGCATGCTCCTTCGTGAATAAGAACTTTAATCCAAACTGTATTGCTGACACCCAACTGTCAAAGGATTAAAAGGTTGCACCCAAGGTGTTCCAAACTTCTGCACCGCCTCGCCCACCTGCTGCCCACCCGCCCACCTGCAAAGGTCAAGAGCAAAGACTACAAAAGCCTGGCACCTCAGAAAAAAGCCACCTCTCATCTTCAGACATCAGTAAATAATTCCATGTTAGTTTGCATATTATTCACCTAGTCCTTCTTCACTGAATCCACAAGACAGGAATTCTTCATTAGTTGTGGCATTTTCAACATAGAAGTTCTTTAACATCTTGATGTTCCAGAAATTTTTTTCCCCCAGTCTCACTCTGTCACCCAGGCTGGAGTGCAGTGGTGCAATCATGGCTCACTACAGCCTTGACTTCCCAGGTTCGAGAGATCCTCTCATTTCAGCCCCTCTGAATAGCTAGGACTACAAGTACATGCCACCATGCCCATCTTTTTCTGTTTTGTTTCTTTGTAGAGACAGGGTTTGCCATGTTGCCAGGCTGGTCTCAAACTCCTGGGTTCAAGCGATCTGCCCCCTTTGGCCTCCCAAAGTGCTGGGATTAGCAACCATTCGAGCCACTGCACCCAGCCCCAGAATATCTTTAAAAGTTCAAATTCCAACTCACGTTTAATATACCCTTGGGTTTGGGGTATTAGGTATTGTTCACACAAATCTAAGTCAGGCTTATGTTTGCTTTCTCAAGTTATTCCATACTCCCTTCTTACAGTAATCTTTCTTAGAGGCCCACCCATAAACCTGCTCCACCCTGCCTATAAAGGAACCCAACCCAAACTCTAGCAGGCTGTCTGGGGAGGAACTGCCCTTTCCTTTGAGACCTTGACATCACATGTTTCCTGAAGCAGGATAGGGTTGCTAAGAATCAGAGCCAGGAAGGGTCTGGTCAGAGCTTTTCAGGGAAAGGGCTGACTCACACATCCTGTGTGATTGAATTTGTCATCTGTCTCTGGATCCTTTCCAGAGTCCCCAGATACCAATATGTTCCACAGTGAGACCAAGATACTTGCCTAATTCTAGGCATCCTCCTTTCTAGCCTCACATCATCTGTATACGCCTATTTTTTTCTTCGTTTGTGAGGTGGGTCTTTTTTTCTGTTGAGACAGGGTCTCACTGTCACCCAGGCTGGAGTGCAGTGGCACAATCATGGCTCACTGCAGTCTCAACCTCCCAGGCTCAAATGATCCTCTGGTCTCAGCCTCCTGAGTAGCTGGGACCACAGGTGTGCACCACCACACCCAGCTAATGTATTTTTATTTTTTGTAGAGACATGCCTCCCTATGTTGCCTAGGCTGGTCTCAGACTCTTGGGCTCAAGTGATCTTCCCGTCTTGGCCTCCCACAGTGCTTGATTTTGTGCAACTTTCTGCTGCACTTACAAATAGGATCCAGATCCCTTATCACAGCCTACAAATCCCTGCTTCTCATCAGCCTCATATCCTGCCATTTCCCACAATGCTCATGAGGGTCCAGCCGTACTGATTTTCCCTGTTCTTCAATTGGAACAAACTTGTTTTCATCCTCTAGGCATTTGCACCTGTTGTTCCTCTGCCTAAATCAGGCTTCTCCCTACTCTTCCCATGCCTAGCTTATCTTATAGACCTGAGCTCAAATGGCACTTTTCAAAGATATATTCCCTGACAACTCCATGAAAAGGGAAGATTTCATTGCCATTTTCTATCTTAACAAGCGACTTCATCCTTTGATAGCACTTACCACAATTCATGATTTAACTGTGTGTGCTTATTTGTCTCCCCTATGAGAACACATGCTCCATGAGAGTAGGGGTTTTACCTATCTTGATGACATCTGTATGCCTAGTACTCAGTAGGAGCCAAATAAATGTTTGTTCAATGAATTTTTACCCACACCATTTTCTCTTTGCTAAATCAGAATACACTTATCTGCCTCAATTCATGGCCTCTTTGCTCCTTCTGCAAGGTCAATTTCAAGTACTACCTCCTCCATGAGGCCTTCCAATAGTCTCCTTGCTTCCCAATCCTGGCTTCAAGCAATGAGCCATTTCTTCTCATAGGTCCTGGGAGCCCTACTGTTTATCCTTTCCAAAGCACTTGGCATACTGTAATATTATGTAATTATCCATTCCACTATACTGGGAGCTTCTAGAGGTCAGGAAATTTTTTGCTTCTATATACCCAACCCAAACACACTGCCTGGCACTCACTTAAAATCCAACGGAGAGTCAGAACAGCATGATGATTAACACACAGGCTTTGGGCCTGAGAGCCTGGGTTTAATACCTGGCTCTAGCAATTACTAGTTGTATGACATTGAGTAACTGACTCTGATCCTCAGTTTCTTCACCTCTCAAGTAGGTATGTTAATACTACCTACCTAATCTGGTAGTTGTGAGGATTAAGATAATGTGTATAAAATATTTTGTGCAATGCCTGGCACACAGTAAGCTCACAGTAAGGGTTAGGTACGAGAATGTTTATTGTTTTACTTGGGGAAGGGGTTAAGTCCTGTCTCTTTTTGTCTTTGAGACTAGTGAAGGCCACAGATTGATCTCATTAGGTTCCAAAGAATTCCTTGAAGTTGATGACTGTCTGCATTCTCTAGAGAGTCCTACACTTCAAGAGCTCACTGCTGTCCTGGAACAATGTCTGATGCAAATGTTAAAAGCAAAATCAAACGTGATGGGAACAAAAAAATGTTCCAAAATACACTTAGTACCAGAATCCCAAAGTAGCAATATGACCCAAGTAGAAAAACCGCTGGGGGTACAAGGATATTGGAATACTGCATTTAAAGACTTAAGAAGTTACCAACAGACTTTAGAATCAGACAGACTTGAGCTGAAATCCCATCTCTGCGACCCACTCTGTAACATTTGCAAATTACTTAACCTCTCCATGTGTTAGCTTTAAAGTCAGGCTAATTGCATCAAGACAGCTGAGATAGTAGCTTTCATTAAGAATTAAATACAATAGCAGATGCTCACAGAGCCAGGTATGCAGACCCTCAGATGTTAGCTTATTTATGTCCTTTCTGAGGCCTTATAAGTTTCCGCAACTCAGCATCCTGTACTCTATGCCTTCTACGAGCAAAACGCCACTTGAATAGCCCTCCACAAGAATATAGCTGGGTATATCTGAATTACAGCTTTCAGAACTATCACAAGCAAAAAGTTTCTGTGAAAGATAGGTGTTAACACATCACTCAGTTGTCCTGGGACCCAGAAAAGACTTCTCAGTAGGCACCAAAGCAATCTGTTCTTAAGTTGATGCTCTAAAGGAAGTAGGCTTGGTGCTGGCTTCTCCCTCACTATCCTTTGAAAGCCAAGACTAAAGAAACAACGTGCCCACAAGGCAATAAGGCCGCAAACCCACCAATTCCCTTCTCTCTACACTCTTCTCCACTTCTCTCCCCTCCAGGGCAGCATGGGGTCATAACAACTCACCTCTGCGAGGCTTTGCTACATTGGTCAAGGGCTTCACCAGCCTCACCATGGTGGCCCCAATGGTGCGATTCTCTCTAGGGTGCCCATGAGAGTCAGCTGAACGCTGGTACAACTCCAGCATGTACCGCAGTGAATGTCCTAGGAGCCGGGGCTTCCTTGGCTGTTCAGCAGGGGATTCTTCTAGCAGCTCCTGAATCAGGGGCAAGGTAGGGGCCTCAGCTGGGAGGGCAATAGAGGACTGCCCTCCTTCTGCCATTTGGGTCCTGTGTTCCATGAAAAGCACCAGTTCCCAAAGAAAAAGAATTCTAAGAATACTGAGGAGGACCATCTTGAAAGGCTTGGTGTTCAATGACAGGTCCCAACACAAGTCCAAGGGATGTCACTCTGACCGTTTCCTTTCATGCAGATAACTGCATCCTGGCTCCACAACCAAGGATGGGGCACGAAAAAGAAAGGCAGGCAGGCCCTATATTGCTTTCTCTAAGAGGATCTCCTGGGCCAAAGAATGCCTTATAACTTGGCCTCTTTGCATCAAAACAAACAGAAGGTAGAACAAGGCAGCATGCCCCTCCCGCTCTCCTGGGCTGAGAACAAGATAGTACCAATTGAGAGGCTGAGGTAACTAAAAGGAGAGGTCCATTTCAGGCCCCACTTCCTTAACTTATCCACTAGAATGAAAAAAAGCAGCCTGACCCTACTTCGCCCTGCGGCCTTAAAAGTAGTCCCTTAATCTACCCTTAAAGGGCCAGAGGCCTCCTGTACCCATCCTACTTCCATGCCTCTAATGCAGCATTTTCCAAAATATGGTCTGCTAATAATCTGCAGTGAAACTATCTGGGGCGATTATTAAGAATGTAGACTCCTGGGTCTGAACCCAAACATGGATTCTCCAGGGTGGTGTCCAGAAATCTGGGTCTTTACAATGCTCCAAGAAGTTCCTTTGAAAACCTAAAATGTGGAAGCTGCTGGGTATGGCTGCTGGAGCTTGAAGAAGATGCTGTAACAGTGGTTCTCAATCTTGGCTGTAGATTAGAATCATCTGGGAAGCTTTAACTATTGTTAATGCCTGGGTACCATTCTGATGTAATGGATCTGGGTTCTAACTAGCGCATGAGGATTTTTTTTAAGTTCACAAGTGATTTTAATGTGCAGCCACGTTTAAGGACTCTGCTTATAATTTTCTGGTTTAGCATGGAAGGTGTTGAGACCCTGATTGGGCTTCATTAGAGAAGCCTGAGGAAGTAGAAGAGCAATCAATGAATGGGAGCTAACCTAGCTCAGATGGCTAATGTGAAGCAGCAGGGCTGGGCCCGATTTAAGGCTACCTCAGACCAGGATTCTGCAGAAAGATAGTAGGTATAGTCCTGGCCTCATCGAAGTAGAAACAGATGGGGATCTGGAGAGAAAGTGGGGAAGCAGGTCAAGACCTGGCTCTACGAGATGATGAGTCAGGCTTGATTTGCAGGAGGCCTTTACCTTACACCAGGAATATTTATGGATAGACAACATTGTGGAACAGGGATGGACTTTGTAATCAGGCAGATCTATTTGAGTTTCTGTGATTGAGGTCTGTGCTTGTGTTTGAGTTGAGATTCATGTTTGAATTGCGATTCTGTCCCTAGCTACAATTTAACCTTTCCAAGGCAAATTTCTAGCTGTAATTTAACCCTTCCAAGGCAAATTTCTTCATTTCTCTACACCTTAGTTTTCTCACCTGTAGAATGGACATAACATGTTTTAGCTCACAGGTTGTTGTGAGGACACAGGGAAATAATCTATGTTAATTGCACAAAGCCTAGTTTGACACAAGACATGGTTGCTAATGGTTGCATGTTCAAATTTATTTGTTTTCTTCCTCTGTTTTTTTGTGTTTTTTTTTCTAACATGACCTTGGGCTCTGGCATGTAGTGTAAAACAAAAGGCATAGGCTTAGGGGTTCTCTACATCTGGACTCAAATTTCAGCTCAAAACTCATTAGCTGGGTTACTTTAAGCAAGATTTCTCCCAGATTTAGTTTCTTCATCTATATTGCTGGCGCCTTCAGAGAGTTGTTGTGAGGGTTGTATTGCATAATATACAAGTAAGGGATATAAAGAGATGACTCACAATAAGCAAAATTTAAGTGGTCAAATGCATGAAAAGATGTATTAGAAATCTAAAAAACTCAACTGAAAACCGCATTAAGATACTATTCAACACCCACTGGATTGATAGCACATGAAAAGTCTGACACTATTAAGTTCAGGTGAGGGTATGGAACATAGGTATAATATATAGAATATCTATATAGAGAGATATGGAACATCTCACACTGCTGTTGAGACTGATTTGGTATGATCATTTTGGAGAGCAACCTGGCATTATCGCCATTAAGGCTGAAGATAAACAATTCAGCAATGCTATTGCTAGAGCAGTAGCGCTTTTAGACACTTTTGTCTGTGACTTACAAAAATAAATACATTTTACATTGTTACTCATTACAAACACAAGCACACACACATGTATATCTTGAAATAAATCTTTTCTGAAACACTACTTATCCTTACAACATATTGGAAAAGGCAATACAGTTGACCCTTGAACGACATGGGGGTTGGGGTGCTAACCTCACCCCATCTCCCATGCAGTCAATATTTGGCATAACTTGACTCCAAACTTAATTACATTGAACCTTGAACAACATGAGTTTGAACTTCACGAGCCCATTTAAACATGGATTTTTTTTCAACTAAACATGGATCAAAAATACAATATTCACAGGATGCAGAACCCACTTACACAGAGGACTGACTTTTTGTATGTGCAGGTTTTGAAAAACAGACTGTACGCAACTTGAATATGTACAGGTTTTGGTATCTGCAGTAGGTCCTGGAATCAATCTCTCATGTATACAGAGAGGAGGGATGACTATACTAATAGCCCACTGTTGACTAGAAGTCTTATGGATAACAATCAATTAACATATTTTGTATGTCCTATGTTTTATATACTGCATTCCTACAATAAAGTAAGCTACAGAAAAGAAAATGATTTTTAAGGCCAGGTGCGGTGGCTCATACCTGTAATCCCAGCACTTTGGGAGGCCGAGGAGGGAGGATTGTTTGAGCCCAGGAATTCAAGACCAGCCTGGGCAACATGCTGAAACACCGTCTCTACAAAAAATACAAAAATTAGCCAGGATGGTGCGTGCACCTGTGGTCCTAGCTACTCAGAAGGCTGAGGTGGGAGGATTGCTTGAGCCATAACGGCGTCACTGAACTCCAGCCAGCCTGGGTGACAGATCAGGATCCTGCCTCAGAAAAAATGATTTAAAAACATAAAATACATTTACAATATTGTACTGTATTTATTAATACTCTAAGTTTACATCGTCAGTCTGAAATGGCCGGTAACCACAGCTGCAGATCTCAATCTATGATACATATTAAGCAATTCAACTTTTTGTTGGAATGTCAGGACTTTGCTTTTTAGGAGCACTTCTGGCAGCAGTAGTGGCACTTCATATGAGTTCCACAGTGTTATTCATAGTTTACAATATTGCACTAAACGCAATGAAACGTACACGGTGAAACGTACAGGAGAACTACCGGAGATGGCTTTGTTTTTTTCTTTTTTGAGCCAGAATCTCACTCTTTTGCTCAAGCTGAAATGCAGTGACACGATCACGGCTCACTGCAGCCTCAGGAGAGATCAATTTTTATTATCTCCATATGCAATTCATTGGTAAAGCAGACCACTCAAGGGGAGATGATTAGCATCACATGGTGGCATTTTAAGCAGATACTCTCAACACTTGAGCTCACCACCATGGCAACAGGAGGTGGGTACATAACTTTATGCAGTTATGATTTAATACTGCATCTTTACATTTGTTTACATTTCCCTTGACTGTGAATGGTACCATGTATAGTCTGTGTGTGTGTAAATTTTGATAAATTTTAACTTTTTGCAATAGATTTTATGGTAGAAAATAATATAGACTAGTGTGTAAGTATATTGATGCATTCACAACATATATAACTGTTTCTTAAGTTGTTTGATATTTCTAGGCTATACAGTTCATCTGCAAGTTTTTATCAATTGTCAAAATCTCCAAATATGTTCTAATATATTTATGGAAAACTATCTGCATATAAGTGAACCCATGTAGTTCAAACTCATGTTGTTCAAGGGTTAACTCTATATCATGGGGGGTGAGAATACAGCTCTGGAAGCGGAATCCTAAATTTAAACTCCAACTCCACCATTTGTTAGCTTGACCTTGGATAAACTACTTAACTTCTCTGTGCCTCAGTTTCCTCATCTGTAAAATGAAAATCATAGCCTCTCTCTGCTACAATCTTCTAACATGTAAAATTGGATTTTTGGTGAGGATTAAATGAGTTAATACATGTAAAACACTTAAAAGAGTGCCTGGCACAAAGTAAGTACTAGATGTAGGTTAGTTATTATTACATTTGTTGCAAGCTGAATTCCCTAGAAAGCTGGGACTCAACCTTATAAGCATGCTAGTTCTGGCCTCACGAGATGTAGAGAAGCAGCCAAAAAGATGCTGTACTCTATTTCCACACCCTCCCTTCTCTCCTAACCCCTTCTCTGCTTCCCAACAGTTTCTTTGTTCTTTAACCTCTGTCTGTTACCAATTTAAACTTCCTATCCTTCTTTTTTTATAGTTTAATGTATTTTAATAGCAAACTTACAGGAACAGCACGGAAGACAGACAACATTAAAAGCATGTAGTTGCATGTAGGAAAACTCAGAAAAGTATAGTGGATGGATGGAATGTACTATATGGTAAAAATGCTACAAACGCCAGTTAGTTGCTGTCAATAAGAAATATACTTGTTTTAAAAAAATACAAAAGCTGGCATTGTCCAGAAAACTTTAACAGGTTATGTATGATTATTATAAAGTTGAACCGCTGAAACTTGTTCACTGAAACATTTTAACGTACATTAATGCTTTACGTCTCTGCATTTATATTAAAAATTCACACACAAATGAAAACAGAAAAACTGCCAAAACCTGATTTCTGTTCCCTATTTTTCCACTCGAAATCATATACCTAGGTACCTTTTAACCCCATGAGAAAGAAAATATCTAAGGTTCAGAACTACCAATAACAGGAAGAAGGGAATTTTTTTCTGAGGATAAAATGTTTCCCATCATAGTGGATTCATAAGCATGTTCTCCACGTATGTGGTGTGCTAGCTGGATGTCTTTTGGCATAATTGTTGCATGTTTGGCATGGATACCACATAGGTTAGTGTCTTCAAAAAGGTCTGCCAGATAGGCCTCACTTGCCTCCTGCAAAGCACCCATAGCTGCGCTCTGGAAGCGCAGATCTGTTTTGAAGTCCTGAGCAATTTCTTGCACCAGATGCCAGAAGGGAAGTTTGCAATTCAGAAATTCAGTGGACTTCTGATGACATCTAATTTCACGGAGAGTCACAATATCAGGCCTGTAATGATGAGGTTTCTTCACCCCTCCAGTAGAGGAGGGCACATTCTTGCTAGCGGCCTTTGTAACCAGTTGCTTCCTGGGTGCTTTACCTCTGGTCGATTTGCAGGCAGTCTGCTTTGTATGAGCCACGATATAGAGACCTCCTTACTTACTCGCTTTCTCCTTCGGCTGGAGCTGGCATTGGAGAGCGACGGCAGTGTGGCAGTGGCTGCGAACACCACTTCCTATCTTTCTATTCAACACAACTACATTAAAAACGAATTCAATACAACTACATTAAAAAACAAGAAGAAGAAGATGTGAGAACAACTAGCAAGACGTCCACGGGGCATGGTTCTCTTTGATGTTTCAGTGATGTTGGATTGGGTTTACATATGTCAAGAACATTTCCTTGCTATCTCTATTAGTAGTGGGATTTTGATACAGGATCATAAGAAGTAGAAAAAGAAAACATATTGCACTGGAAAGAACATGATTTGGGTTTAAATTCCTGGTTCTGCTATTTTTTGGCCAATGCTTAACGTCTCTGCATCTCAGTTTTCTTAACTGAAATAGGGGATATTGTTTGCCCTTCTAGGGTTGTGGTGAGATTTAAATGAGACAATGTATCTAAAGTATCTAGCACGTAGATTATCCTCAATAAACGCTCAATTTTATCATTAATAGCACATGATTTTAAAGGACACCTAAAATATATCTGACTGAGGCCGAGTGTGGTGGCTCAGGCCTGAAATTCCAACACTTTGGGAAGCCGAGGCAGGTGGATCGCTTGAAGCCAGGAGTTTGAGACCAGCCTGGGTAACATGGTGAAACCCATCTCTACTAAAAATACAAAATATTAGCGAGGCATGATGGCACGTGCCTGTAATCCCAGCTACTTGGGAGACTGAGACACAAGAACAGCTTGAACCCAGGAGGTGGATGTTGCAGTGAGCTGAAATTGAGCCACTGCCCTCCAGCCTGGGCCACAGAGTGAGACTCTGCCTCAAAATAAAAAAAAATAAAATATATCTGACTGAAGGAAGTGTCTTTTCAGCACCATGGTGGAATTCCATCCCTCTACCCAACAGGGCTTCAGGAGGCTCGCCTGGCTGAGTCTCCTATTATTATCTATTTTCATTATCTAAAATGGATATTAATAGGGTTGTTGTGAGAATGAAATAAGCTTATGCATGTAATATGCATGCTTTGTTCTGGACACTACACTCAACTTTCTTATTTTCAGAAAAATACAATTTCTTATTTCAAAGAAAGAATAAAAATCCAACCCCATTCTTATCATGAGACTTGAAAAGAAGTTGACATAATTGTTTTCTGGAAATGCCCCGTGGGTCTAAGGTATGCAACAGCCCCAAACCCCCAGAAGAGGGCACCAGCTGTCTTTCTAGCCTTCTAGTTGATGGCGGGGTTGGGGGTGGGGGTTGGGGGTGGGGGTAGGGGGCAGCCATTTAATAAGTGATTGGAACAAGATCTACAAAAGGATATATACCAGCCCTTCTGCTTTAGAAAAAGCCAGTATGTGAAAAAAGCTAATTATAAATCAGGAAATTTAGGAGATGATGACCGACATGACAAAAGGACACAGCAAAATGGATCACTGCAATTTGCTTTGAATAGCAGGAACCCTTAAAGCTCAGTATGGGTTACTTTTTCAAACTACAATGTTCTGGGCACACTACTAATGATAGATCATGAAATTTACAAAGAATTCATTTTTATCTAACTTTTCAGAATATGGCTATTGTATTAAGCTCACATGTATAATAGAATTCTTCCCTTAAATGGTCGTAATTTACATTTTCTTACAATTGCATTTATTCAACAAATATCTAGTAATCACTTCCCATGTGGTTGTGTTAGGTGTCAGAGCTAGGCTGCTTGGTTTAACTTCCAGCTCTATCACTCTTAGCTTGGTAATTTAGGACAATTGACTTAATCTCTCTGTGCCTTAGCTTCCTCATCTAATAATAATGATAGCATCATTTTAGAGGGTTGTTATGAGAATGAAATAAGCTTATACAGCTATTAAGTTGACGACAAAGTAAGTGCAGTTTTTGTCGTTATTTTCAACGACAAAAACCTCATTTACTTTTGCACCAGCCTAATAATATGTGTACTTTGTTCTAGACACTACACTAGACCCTTAGAGTGCAGAAATTAACAGGACAAGCCCTGTATCTGCAGCACTCGCAGGCACTATGCTAGGCACTAGGGTTGGCTGGGGACATCAAGATAAAAGTTTCTATGTCAAGAAAATAACAACCTGGATCAGGACATAATAGATAGGAAACATTTCCTATAGCCATGACATTTCCTCTGATTACTAAGTTCCCAAGAAACGGAACTATTTCCTAGATAAATTTTATTTTAAAAATAATTTTCATTTTCCATAAAACAAAAGGGTATGCTGTATTATATAAAGATATTTATTGATTTGGCACTAGGCTACACCCTTTTACATATTATACTTTAATCTTAATAGCAACTCTATGAGGTTAAGCATTATTATTCTTATTTACAGCTGAGAAAATTGAAAATAAGAAAAGGCAACTTGCCCAAGGTAGTAGCACAGCTCTCAAATGGTAGACTC